ACTTTGCCCCCTGGATGCTCCACCACATTCGTGGATATATTTGCAGCAAAGAGACAATATCTTTTGTCACATCTATATGCATTTGTGGGTATAGTCCCACTCTCCCTCCCTAATCAGCTTTAACTGATAATTGCTATGGAGAAAGAAAGTCCAGTTTTGCCTACTTGTCTTATTTCTTTCAGAGAATTTATATTTATATGTGAAATATTCTGATTTAATGTTGGCAGCAAATTTGGGGGAGGAAAAAGCCTACATGCTGGGCAAAATAATACCAGAATTCACTCTGCAAGTCATCAATTTGCAACCTCTGATCCAGGGTACTTGGATTGCGTTGCCACTGATTTTTGTGTACAGCTTGGGGTTTATAAAGACTCTACCTGTGAGGTTGGCTTGACTGTACCCAAGTGCCTGACACAGTATCTGCACAGAGCTGGCACACAATAAATATAGTCAAAGAATTAGTTGCATGGACATCTTTCAGAGTCAAATGTATTCAATCTAATGGTTGGAAAAATATTTTGGATTCCTTCTTAGGCTAGTTCCTGCTAAAGGTCTGTTATTGGTGTCTCCCAGCTGTTAAGTATTACTATCCTTAGCACTTTAAAGGTTTGTTTCCAAATACTCAGAATGCATCCTACTTGTGTCAGACGCTGGCCATCATACTCCTTCAGGAATGCCTTGTCATCACTCTTGTGTTCTGGCATCATTCTCTTCTGTAACATAACATTCCCAGTGCAGAGAACTTGGCTTACAGACTCAAGGAATGATAGGACTACGCCAGGATTGTTTCTGTCCCACCAAACCACCTGCTTTAAACTACATGGCATAATGAGGGAGGTAAAGGTAAAGGTGATTTGTCTAATACTTCATTCATTTTTTCAAAAATGAATAATTGAAAAATATCATTCAGAGCATATATGTATACCTGCTGTTGTTGTTGTTAAGCACCATCAAGTCGATTTTGGTTCATAGCAATCCTGTATAGGATTTCCAAGGAGCAACTTGTGGATTTGAACTGCCAATCTTGTGGTTCGCAGTCCAGTGTTTATACAGTGCCACACCAGGACTCTGATATGCCTGGTTGTTGTTGTTGCTGTGAAGTGCCGTCGAGCTGGTTCTGACCCATAGCCACCCTGTATAGGGCTTCTAAAGAGTGGCTGGTGAGCTTGAACCATAAACTTTGAAGGTCAAACTAACTTTGCAGTCCAGCGCATTAACCCACAGCACCACACCAAGACTCTGATATGCGTGGTACAAGGAAAGAAAGACAAATAAAATGCAATATTTGATTTTATAGTGTGCTCCATACAATAAACACTGGACTGCAAACCACAGGGTTGGCAGCTCAAGCCCACCAGTCACTCTATGGGAGTAAGATGAGGCTTCAAAGATTCAGAAACCTTGTACAGGGTTGCTATGAGTTGAAACTGACTTGATGGTATGAAACAACAATGTACTATAAAGAGAGACACCCACCACAGATTTATGGGAGAAGCAGTACACAGAGATGGTTAAGAACATTAATTCCAAAGCAGACTCCCCAGGTTCCAAACCTGGCTTCACCATTTATCAGATGTTTCAGCAAGTTATTTAGCACTTTTGTGGTTTGGTTTTTCAATCTGTAAAATGGAGAAGTAAGAGAATCTACCTCTTAAAGATTATAATGAAGATTTCTGTGAATGAAAATATCTGGCACAAAAATAAGTATTCAATCAATGTTATCTATTATTACTACTTATGTGTGTGGATGGTGTTTGTGGATAGCTAGGTAGGGCAAAATGAAGACAAGAACATTTTCTGAGGTATTGATTCAAGTCTTGAAGATTTGTTTATTTAATAAATGTTTACTGACCATTTACTAGGCATAGCGCTGTGGGTTAATGCACTGAACTGCAAAGTCGTTTGAACTGCAAGGTAGGGGGTTCAAGCTCACTAGCTGCTCCTTGGAAACCCTATATAGGGTCGCTATGGGTCAGAATCGACTCAACGGCACTTCACAACAACAGCAACAGGCACTAGATGAGTTACTATAAGGCAATGGTGTTGTTGTGACGTATCCTTCAGTTGATTCTGACTCATAAAGACCCTGAACCACCAAGCTTTTGGTTAGCAGTCCAGTGCTTATCCGACAGCACTACACCAGGAGTGGTTGGGAAATACAGAGAAAAAACATTCCAGGCATTGGGAATACAGCTTTAAAGTCATGAAGATGCTAAAGGTCAATGTTAGATCTTGGAGGTGCAAATAGTTCAATTCAGTTGGAGAACTGAGGCAGAAGTGAAGAAGGGCAAGACATGAGAAGAGAAAGAAGTGGGGATGAGACATGTCACATTATAGACAGTCTTGAATATCATCCAGTGGCACTTGAAATTTATCCTATAAACATAAGGAACCAAAGGAAAGTTTAAGCAGGGGAGTGATGTGATCAGATTTATGTTCTTAAAACATTACTTACTACCATAGAGATAATCTCAAATTCCTTTACAAAGTGAGACCTGCTTCAAAACTCCTGAATGATTTTCTATGCAAATCAAAGCTAATGGATTTTAAATGAACAACAATGAGGGGTGAGTAAAAACACTGCAATCCAGATTCTGATTCATAGCAACCCTTTAGGACAGAATAGAACTGCTCCCTAGGATTTTCATGACTGTAAATCTTTATATGAGAGCAAACAGCCTCATTTTTCTCCTAAAGCACCAGATGGATTTGAACCTTGGACCTTGCAATTAGCAGCCCAATGCTTAACTCACTGTGCCACCATACCCCCCTTTTTAATTAAAAGCACTTACAAATTAAGACATGAAAGTGAATATTCCATATATTCACTAAAAAATACTTGGACTTGAAGCATGGGGCGTTTATGGCAAAAAGAAACCCCTAGTATTACATGAGGACTCTGAAACAACCAACTCTGTGCTTCTGAATCTGTCCATAATCTTGTGTTTTTCTTCATTCATTTAACCAAAAAGTATCATACCAGGTACTGTTCTAGGCATCTGGAGTACAACAGTGAGCAAAAAAGACAAAGATCCCTCTCTTCTAGGGGCTTACCTTTCTCTGAGACAGACAATAACAACGGGAAATGTTAAAAGGAGATAAGTGTTATCAAAAAAAATAAGTGGGCATTTCAACAAGAAATGAAAGAACTGCAAAGCCCTTCACCGTGTAAAATATATGATAATTCTACGGTGGGTGCTAGATCCTGTTGCACAAGGATCTAAGCATATTTTATAATATATATATAGAGAGAGTTGTGTGTCGCAGAGCTGGTTCCAACTCACAGCGACCTTTTGTATGGTTTCAGAAACTGTACATCTTTACAGGAGCTTAAAGTCTCATTTTTCTTCCAAGAAGTGGATGGTGGATTCGAACTGCTGACCTTGCAGTTTGTAGCCCAACAAACCCACTACCGCTACACTACAAGGGCTCTCTCTCTCTCTCTATCTATATAAAACAAGATATTTATCATAATTTATAAAGCCTTTGTAAGTGTATTTTAAACAGTGTAGTGTGCAAAAGCCTTACAATGGTTTGAACATTTTCTTCCCATATTTCCATAATAAACAATTCCAGGGTTTGGTAGTGGCGATGGTGTGTGTGTGTACATACATATATATTTTGGACAGCTTCTCACATCTGCAACACAAACTGTTAGAACCTTATTCTTCTACAACCTGCCCTGATTACAGTTCAATCCCGCAGGAACGTCGGTTTTCTTTTTTGCTTACCACAAAAACAAATCTCCTTCAACCAAATATCATAGAGTAGTGTCCTCACTAATCCGCTGTTTATGTAGCCCTGACTCCAAGGGAAGAATGCCACCTACCGAATCATCAGCACCAGTCAGCCAGTCCTGCAAAGTGCATTAACACTCAAATTAACAAGTCGGTTCCAAATCTTCTCCCTGACTATTCTATGGCCTTAAAACAACAACAGCAACAACAAAAAAACACTATTTGGGTTGACAGGAAGTTATGCTCTCGGCGCAGATATCTGATAAACATTTCCACATATTGTAGCCTACTCAACGGCTAGGTCAAATTTCAGACCTTTTTTTGCCAGCATTTTCATAATTGAGCTTTCACGTTGCAAATGTCCTTGTCTTTAAAGCCCGCCGACAGCAGCGGGAACCACTGGCGCAAATAATGCAGGGGGTGCAGACCCGAGGCTGCAGAGGACAGGAGGGTTACCCGGGATTGCACCAGAGGTCAGACGATGCTGTGGGCTTCTAAATTTGTGCAGCCGTGGCACTCTGCGACGTGCAACTTCATCCAGAGGCCTCTTTGCGGGGGTGGGGAAGGGAGGGAGAAAAAAAAAAAAAAAAAGAAAAGAAAAACCTCTGCAGTCCGCTGAAAGCGAGGCAAGAATCACTGCAACTCCTCTGTTCAGGCTGAGGTCGTCACAGCTCCGCGGATGCTCGCACTGCAGCGGTGCCTTCCCCGCGGGCGCAGCGCAGGAAGGGATGGGGTGGAGTGCGAGTGGGCAGGGTGTCGAGAGAGGCGCGTGTCCGTGCACTAGAGGCCCGCGATCTTGAGCTCCTTCGGGCTGGACTCACGTAAGAGTCGAGGACTGAGAAGGTCAGTCGGTCGCCTGTGCCCTAATATATATATAGAAAGACGCCCGACCCAGCGCGCCAAGGCCCGGGCCAAGGGGAGGGCGGAGGCCCAGAGGAGGGCGGCCGGGGG